TCTGGAAGCTGTCGGTCTCCGCATCCCTGCTCGGAATCTGAGAGATTTTTCTATGTTCAGTTTTAGCCCCTTGATCAAAAACAGTCCTTCTGCTAGATGCGCATCAGCTGCTAATGTTGTCTGCAGGGATTTGGACATATTCGAGACGAAAATTGTCACACTTCTTCACATTCTATAATAGTATAATTTACTTAATTGATTCAAATTATTTTTACAAATATCCTAATGTAGTTAGTAGTAATTTTTTGTGTACTTTCAGTATCAATGTATTTTATATATTGCTTGTTTTACCTTTTATGTTTTTATTGGGTTTGTGAGCTTATCTCTGTGCTGTATCTGTAATTGGCCATCAGGCTGTTGATACAGCACACAAATAATAAAGAATTGAATTGAATAATATTTCTTGTGATTCTCATCATATAGTATGCAGCATTTAAAACAAAATTGGCATTATAAACTTTCAACATTTTTTTTATTGGAATTAAATTAACTTTAATTTAGGTACATGCAGAAAGTGAACTCACAGTTGGATAGCCATCTATACGGTGTTTGCCAAAGTATGCCTTATATGTACAACAGACAGGGCAGTTACACATCATGTAACTGTGACTCTCATCACATTTACAACACTGACAAGTCTTGCAATGTTGGTCTGCAAACAAATAAAATAATGACAAGTTAGGAGACAGGCTTTATCAGGCATCTGTCAAATTTCATGGGTACATTAACCAAATGAATGTTCACAGGACAGACAAATGTGTGCACAATTCTTATAACTACCTTTCCTTGTTTGCCTCCATTTTGTCTGATGAAAACTGGATCCATGACACTGTTATAATGTGAATGTGGATTGTACTCTCTTTCAGAAGCTGACGTTGAAATGGGTAGCCGAGTGGGTGAATCTTGCAATGTTTTGGCTCTCTGTGAATGCACCGGGCTCAAGTATACAATAGACAAGATTAACATGTCACAGTAAGATGAACGTTATCAACTTACACCATTTAAAATTCGAATTTAAGAAAATAAGTGTGAAATCACAAAGTTGCATCATGATATATGTAGTAGATACAATGCAAGTAAATAACAGAAATACATAAGAAGACCAAATTATGTTCCTTAAATGTAAATTAATAAATCCACTAATTTTGACTCTTGGAAATATTGCCATATAAAACAATTTCTTTTTTTACAGCATGCCTGTGAACATATTTTTTAATTAGGAGGCAGACATTTAGGATATTATATAATAAGAACCTACATAATATAAACAGGTTAGATGTACAGCCCCTAAAATAAATTGTTCCAGTTGAGGTTGAATCTGTGATATTCATATTACTACTTTAATAAGTCGTCAATTTAGCAGTGAAACTTGCTGTTAATCAGCTACATCTTTGTGAAAAAATTAAATACAGGCTGATAGAAATGTCTCCCTCAAATTTTACTTCTGGAATTTTGGGTTCTCTAATAATAACTTAAAAAAATTAATAATTTATAATATTGTAACGTGGGTCGGCGTTGCTACCCTGATTTATTCACGTCAAATTAAATCAGTTACAGTGGTCTGCACATACAGTCAACTCTCTACAACAACAACACACTTCGTGTCTCTGTTCTCTGCACACATACACACACACACACTCTGTCCTCCGAGTCTATCTGGTCCCTTGAGTTCAGCGCTCTTCACACTCTTCGCTTACATATCGGCCCGTAGCACCCCACTGGACACACCCCAGCTCCTCGGCCACCATGGTCCACGTACCCAGTGCCCGCTCACGCAGCCGACCTGTCCTTTCTCAGCGCCACACCAGACCTCTCATTGGCTCCACTCTCTCGGTTCTCACGGCACACTTCTCTTATGCCCGATTCACAGCTCTGTTCTTTCCACACTCCCTTTCCAACAATGTCAATAAACAGACAACTAAACTGTTTATTGACATTGTTATGCTGCTCTCACCGCAACACGTCACAATATTATTATTCTACAGCTCAGTCGGTATAGTGACTGGCTACGGACTGGGCAACCGGGGTTCAATCCCCATGGGGGCAGAGGATTTTTCCTATAGCCTCTTGTGTCCAGACCGGCTCTGGGGCCCACCCAGCCTCCTATCCAATGGGTAACAGGGTCCTTTCCTGGGGGTAAAGCCGGCCAGGGCGTGATGCTGACCACTCACCCCCATCTAGTGCTGAGGTCAAGAATAAGTAGAAACTATACCTCCACTTCCCCCCAAGCGCCTACATGGTGTATAGTGGGACAGCTTTACTTTTTTAGTCTACTTCAAATTTTCAATTTAATGCTATTATATTTCTTCTACAACATGCAACTTTGAAATAAGTTATTTTTTGTATATGATGGAATTATAGTTTTACATATGCATTCAGGCCTCATGCTCTAATCACTGTTTAGAAGATATTTGACATGTTTTAACTTCATTATGCTTGAAACTAAATAAAACACTAAACTACAAAAGTTGTTGTTTAATTCTGCTACAACTGTCAACTACAGATAATTCTTATAATACCTTGGAACTCAGCATCTTTGGATTTATAAGTCCAGGATTTCTCTTATGGAAAGGTGATGTGTCCACAACTTCTTCTATCATTGTGCTGGTTAATACCTGAATCATTGGACCTAAAATACCCTGAAAAGTAATTAAGTCTCACTAACATGCTTGCACAGAACATCAGTAAACATGGAATTTGTGGAAGTTAACAATTCTTATGTAATTAAAGTTCTCCAATTTACCAAATTGTTACAAAGTCCAATAGCAACATTTGTAAATGAAATAGCATGTGCACACAAACTGCCTGAGCCTAATAAAGACAGTATCATTGTTTGTTCCTTCATGTAGTTAAAAATATATGCTTCAACCCTAATATTTATCATTGAAAACCTCTTACTGCAAGGCTGTCAACTGAACTTTAACCCAGCAGTTAATGGTTTTGTATTATGCTACTATGGCATACAGGCAGCTGAACTGCGTGTAAGCCATCAGACAGTCATTAAAGGTTAAAGAATGACATCTGTAACACAATACTGATGAATGTATGTATTAAACTAGCTTCATAAACTATACTAATTGATGTGCATTTTAATACAGAAAGCACCTTGATACAGTTTTCATTATCCTTGTGATAGCAGATACAACAGAAATCTAAAATTGTTAATGAATTATTTATTTTGTGCAGTTTTTCATATTTTATTTCTTTGTTTATTTGATCACACAGCTCAGGGAGGAAATACTGTGAATTAAGGAGATGACAAACTCATTTTGAACCCTCCCAGAACATCGTGTATTTCACTTACTGTACATTAAACCTTCACAGGATTATCAGAAGCCTGTGAAACAACAGAATATAAATAAATATTATTATTATTATTATTTTATTGTTATATAAACTTATATGAAGAATGCCTCAGGGACATATAATGTCCAGCTGTTGTTTTGTAATCTCAGAAACCATAACTCACTCTTAAAACATATAGTAAGCCTAGTTTAGAACATCAAGTTTCATTCAAAATTTTAAGTAGCAGAACTACCAAGATATTTTATTAATACAACACCCCCATATAAAACATATGAAAATTAAAATACTTAAGTATAAAAAATGTAATGTTACAAATTGTAGCTTACAGGAAAATATCCTGTTGGTGTCATCAGAAGATCAACATCTACACCTGCTATTAAATTTTTCACATGTGGAGAAGGGAATAACAATTCGAATACTGTTGTTTCAAATGATGCCAGAATCACATCACTGCGATCAGAACATTGTATCAGCTCTGCATGTATTAATTCTTTGCCCAGGAGATGCTGCAGATCTGTTAAACAACGGACATTTTGGAAAGTCTGTAAAAGGAAACCATATAAACAGCGTAAATGAACATAAAAAAAGTAAAAAAACTGGGTGGGAAAACTCTAAAATGCTTAGTTTACCTTCTGAAAGATGAATTTTTGGTGATACAACAAGGGAAATATTGGTGATACATGAGATGTTCTAGCTGAACTTCCAAACATACAAAGTTTCAAGATGATTTCACCATTTGGGCATAACCACACACCTGGACATGTTACCTTAAAAAAGAACATGAATGCAGTAATATCTTCAACTGAATAGAGAATAGTTGAAACATAGAGTTGTTCTTTAAATACACCATTATTATGTAAACCAAAACAGATACTTATGCAAAAAATATATAATGAGGAATAAGACTTATAAATGAAGACACTATTAAAGAATTTATAACACATCTAAGTAAGGAAAACTGGGACTCAGTAATAAATAGCCATGATGTACATTTAAAATTAAGCACTTTCCTAAATACCTTCCTAAACAATTTTAGGCAAGTTTCCCCACCGAAACAGTGAAAAGGATTTCTGAAAATAATGAGTGGAAATATAAACGACAGCTGTACCTTACTGTCAATCCAGTAACAACCAATGATGAAAATTCACTACAGGAAATATTGCAAGATACTTACTCCAGTCATTAAAAAGGCTAAACGTATGCATTACTATAAACAGATACTAGAGGCAAATAATAATACAATAGCAGTCTAAAATAGTGATAAAGAATCATTAAACAACTAACGAGTCAATCAACTTTCTCTGACGATTGTACTGAAAATACTTACTGCCTGGACGTCCAAATCAACAGAAATGTTAAAGGCCTTTACTGACATAGTATGCCACTAATTAAATGCGTCTTTGATGACAGAAACATATGCAAAGCCTCGCGTTTCAACAATTGCCGTAACAGGTCTTGCGAGGGCAAATTCTAACCATATTACAACTTAACATCATAAATCCATTTTAATAAACATATGGTTGCTAGGCAACTAAGTTGAACAACACACCAAGAACAATGATACCAACTACATACAACCTACTTCACAGAATAAAATGAAACAGTGAACGTACAAAATTTATGCATGTTTCTTCCAAATATTAAATGCAATAACATAATTCAGAAATATGATTCTAGAATTAGGACATGAAGTTTGCATTTGAGCCCTCCTACCAGTCATAGATGCCTCTATATCCAAAGTTTACAATTTGTGAATTCGTTCTGTGGTTGGGAAGAGTTTTCTTGGATTGGATGTTGGTACGGAAAGATATTGGAATTATTCTGTGGAGTTGATTGTCGGAAAGTAGCGTGTTTCTTATTACTTATAGCATTTAAGTGATTTATGTACGTCGTCTTCGCCACTTAAAGCAGATACAAAATCCTCATTTTACTTAAAAATATTGTATTGAAGTGAATTGCAAGATCGTATAACAGGTAACAATATCATAAACTTTCGAAAGTAGCTTATGCAGAACCCTTCAATATGGTTCTGAAATGCGGTTGTAGTACCTTTATTTGAAGTTCACTGATTAAATTTGTTGTTTCCACCTGCCATATCTGTTTTTACACTTGATTTATTGTTACAAAATGTGATTTATCTCTTGATCGGATACTTCTTTCGACCATACAACATTTAAGGATTCTGATTAGTATTTTCACGCTGTCTGGTGTGCAGTATTCTTATGTTTTCTGTACTCCATGTGTTGGAAAGTACCATAAAACTTGACAGGTGCGATAAAATGACGTGGATATGTAGTTTCAAATTCATGTGCTATTAAAATTACTTAACAGTTCGGTGACTTAAGAAACGGCAATACCCACTTATATTCCATCGAAGCATATAGTGACTATGGAATGCATAATCTTCGTTTGTATTTGTTTCACTTCCTTTCCATTGCACCCCTTTGTAATTTCTGTCATAGTAGCAGTTATTTGATTTTGTCATCACCTATCTGTACCATTCAGTAATTAGAGAATCCCTGGGTGAATTTTTATTAAATTTGGTATGGGCAATATGCCATTGTATATTACTCTGATCCCAGACCCCTCAGTTTCTAACAGTTGGTTCTACCTATATGATGGTTGCTTGAATTCATGAGGTAGGACGATGATGACGACATCCATGATTCTCTGCATGTATGCAATACTAGCTTAACCCAACTTAACCACACCTTTTTACACTTGATATTCGCCAGCTCGCATCTAATAATTTCAGGAAATTTGGTATGGACATTATGCCACTGTGGACTCTTGCAAATGCATGCCCTTTAATTTTCTATAGTTTGTAATACCAACATGATATGCACAAACTTGTAAAGTGAGACTCTGTTACCAATGATCAAATGCACTTGTACATCGTTCTCAGATTATGAAGTAGTCTCTGATATCTGTCTGTGTATTCAAAACTAGTGAATGGCTGGAGAGATTTTTCATTAGATTTTGAACAGGCATTATGCCATTGTAGACTAGTCTAAACTGAAACATTTTTCTTACAGATGGTACTACCATCATGAGCAAAACTGGTATAACTTTGTTGATGTAACCGCTGTTATGAAGAAATCGCTCCTGTTTTGCAAAATTTATTCCCCCTCTTGCACTTTTATTACAAAGTAAGATGATGGTTGTAATTTATTTTAATAAATATTAGTGTTTATTATTTTCCATAACAGGTGGTAAATAATGCCTGCAGCAGATGAAGTGAAATCGAGCTGGGCAGACGAAGTCGAGGAAGAAGGAACGGCTGGAACTTTACCCCCACCAATAGAAGAAATTGAAAATGGTTTTAAGATCATTACAGAATATAAATATAATGATGATGATAAAAAGATTAAGGTGGTCAGATCATTCAAAATAGAGCGCATGATTGTATCAAAGACCATTGCCTTGCGTAAAACTTGGAGTAAATTTGGTCAGTCAAAGAATGACAAAGCTGGTCCAAATCCAGCCACCACAGTTGTTGCTGAAGATGTGTACATGCAATTCATATCAAACAAAGAAGAAGATAACAAACCTGAAGAAGATGCTTTAGATAAACTAAAGGGCATGGGCGAGAAGGGAGTCGTGAAATGCCGAAAGTGCTGCGGAGAACACTGGACAACAAAATGTCCATACAAGGACACAGTTTTACCAGGTGGGAAACTGACAGATGAGAAGAGACCTGAGTCTGCAGGGGGATCAGGGGGTGTTGGACCTGGGATGGCATCTGGTGATGATAAAAGCAAACAACAAAACACTAAATATATCCCTCCAAATCTTCGTGATGGAGGCAATAAAAGAGGTGACAGCATGTCAAATTCAAGGGGTAGAGATGAAATCATAGCAATACGTGTCTCCAATCTGTCAGATAGCGTTACAGAGGCTGATCTGGAAGATTTGGTAAAATCTTTCGGTCCAATTCACAAGCTATATCTGGCTAAGGATAAAACTACAGGCCAGTGCAAGGGATTTGCTTATATTCACTTTAAGTTCAGGTCAGATGCAGCTAAAGCTATTGCTTCTCTTCATGGTCATGGGTATGATCATTTGATTTTGAATGTTGATTGGTCAAAACCACAAGGGCAAAGTTAACTACTTTCATGGTTCAAATTTTAGTAATAACGTGTCTCATAAGCTGTAACTGAAATCTCTTAAAGATTGTTCATATAAAATTGCCACTCATGAAACTCCATGTAATATTGATGAGATTATAAATCATCGTCTTTCATTTTCGTTTCTGACTTGAATGTGAAGTTATCAAATTTTTAAGGGTACAGATGAACAAATATTGTTTAAGGTTGCGTACCATTTATGCTTGGATTATTATTCTGACCCAAAATTTTTCCTAATTTATTTTTTCATCACTTCAGTACTGTGAACAATATAAGCTTATTCCTTTTAATGATAGTGCTGAATCTGCTTTAATAAAATTTATCAAAAGCTTTGGAACAAAAATTTTAATATTGTAATGCAGATACTTGGATGGTTATCACCTGGGCGTTGTGCTGTATAGCATTTTGGCTGTGTGCAAGCATTTTAGAGGAATGTAACTGGTGTCTGAGAATACAACTTCCCATATGTACATTTCTGCAATGACATCAGATCCAACAACACATATTTCTTGAACTGTATTAAGCTTATGTGCACATTGACTTTGCAAAATATGTCATGGGACCAAGTGATTTTTGTGCCTCATTCATATTTTGTCATATTTTTGTTGTGTTATGCATTCTGCTGCAATCTTGCAAGATACGTAAAAAAATTATGGATGATAACTGCAGACTAAATATTAATAAATATATTAACTTCAGTTCTCATATTTATGTATAATTTGGTATAAAGAAAAATGTTAGCATAACATCCATGCATAATGGTATCATAATTGGCAGACAAAAGAATGAAAGTTAACTTTTTTGACACCCAGAAAATATGATATGTAACTCCTAAATTCATATTGAAACATGTTAAATTCAAGTAAATGGGGTAAAAATTTCTTTCTGGAAAAAAGTATATGTATTATATTTTATGTTCTATCTAAAAACAAGTGATTATATCATAGGTGGTGATAACTGGAGAGTGATTCTAGATGCCTTCTCAGTGTTCTAGAGATGTCCTGTTAGGAAGGTTATTATTTACTGTATTATAAACTTGCATTGTTGATATATATCAGTGTTCATTTCTGTTAATATGTATACATTATGCTATCTGAATTGTTAAAGTAACAGTCTTTAAGGGAAAAAATGGAATATGGTATAACAAAAGGAAAGTGAAGGAAGTCTATAATAAAGCATGAATGAAGTGCAACATATGTATTTCAAAAAAATATGATACTTTTAGTTATTGGATATCCAATTTCAGTAATTGTAAACATGTTATTAATATGAAATAAACCAATACTCGGTCTAAAATAAGTTCCCTGCGTTTCATTGAACCCCTGAGGTTAATTAATTATCATGTTCATAAGAACCCACTAGTCCCTGTCCTAAGCCAGAATAAGTCAGTAATATTACACCAAAAGTATTTTATGTGGTATCCTGTGACTATCAAATTCTACCTTCTTAACCACTGATATTATTCCGTCATGTACAAAGCAGCCTGTTCCTAAGTGATTATCAACATTCCCATTTCCATAGAAAAGTGTGTAATCATCTGAGGGTTCCCAGCCACCTTTATCCCGTATGTATTCCCACTAAATATAACATATTTTTCTAATTCTCCTTATACTGTTTTTATATAATCTGGCCTATAGAGAGAGACTTCTGACATTCCATGTTCCAAATCTCATATCCATTTTCTTTGCTTAAGTCATTCCAAGGAATCCATTTATGTCCATGTACCTATGTAACATTTCATAACATGCTGGGATTTTACAGCGGATACTTTAGAATGTCATTGCAAACCGTCCATTGTCAGGTGTTTGTGAATTTATTCAGAGTATTCATAGCTACCCTGCATATCCAAAGTAACAGAACAATTCTGTATCTCATTTTCACAGGTTTCTGTTTGGTATGGTTCCCATTCATCTCTTATTTCAGTACTTTGTCTAGTTGTCCTGGTAGGTCTCTTGTTTTACATAATTGCCCCATACGTGAGTGGCTGCAATAGTAATAATGTGTTTGTAATTTGTAATGTAAAAGTTAATTTTTCTGAGCATGAGAGAAGTGAAGAAGAAAAATTACTGTTCCTTCACTGTTGATGGAAGTGGATGGTCAGCTGAACATTCTAGCTGCTGTTTTCTCAGAGAAACTATTTGATTCAACAAAAATGATGGCCCAGTTATTCCAAATATGAAAAGTTTCCAGTGATCTGTGAGGGATTAATCTAGTCATAGCCAGTGACCCCATATTTCCACCTGTTGAGGAAAATGTTTCACATAACAAGATATCTTTGATGTTAAGGGGGATCCATGCATGGAAGACCATGAAACTCCAAATAGGAATTCTTTTGAGCAATATCTAGAGACCAGTAAAAAGGTTGGTACCATGAAGGGCTAGTATGCCAAGAATACAGAGCTCGAAATTATGTATGTATTAAAGTAAATATTGCCCTCCTAGATTTTAAGAGAAATGTAGGGATGTGTCAGTAAATTATTTAAAAATGTATTATCTAAATGAGGAAATAAAACAAAAGACGACGTAGGAACAATTTATTAAATTGCAAACCGGAAGGATTCCGAAGACCCAAGACAAGTTGCAAAATGAATTCAAATGAAGACGGAATAGGTCAGAAACTAACTTTTTTAAGAAGTAAATATTGAAAAGAACTCTATTTAATTAGCGTATAATGATAAATGATAAATCAATTTGGAATAAACTCTATCTGAAAAATGCATAGGAACTTTGCAACTGTGTATTTCTTAACAGTAGTTTTCCGTATAGTAGTATTTATGAGTGAACATAAAAATAATACATTTTTTAATAATTCAAGATATTTTGCAGCGGCACTAGGATATTATAGAGAATGATTTATAAAAGTTGTATTGATTTTTAAGATTTGATTCCGGCGTATGGCACGAATAGCTGGAAGAAAATGGCTCCGTATATGTATGAATTGTGTATTGTGAGAGGGATGGCACAATATTACGGATTTATGCTGAAACTGTTAAATACATATTTGATTTGTGATTTATATTAATATTACATATGTTCAAGGTATTTTTGCATTTTAGCTCTCCTGAACCATAGAAGGCTGATTGATGTTGGTGACCTCAGGTTTTTTGTTAATGACCCAAACTGCAAGATCGACAGGCAACATATGCGAGAAACTGCACTTACAATATCTTTATGTATAATTTTTGTTGCACATACCAGCAACAATTAAGTTTTAGTTGTTTCAGTATATTCTTTTAGAATTTTTGTTACGCCAGCAACAAATAAGTTCATCACTCTTACATGTTATGATGGGGGACCATGATAACCCACAGAAGAAACGATCCATCGATGAAATTATTGAACATATGACTGCAGATATACAAACTAGTGATGGCCAGTATATACCGTTGGGATTTACACCACCACCTGCACATGCCACAGTGCCACATGGTTGGTCAGAATATGCAATGCCTGTAAGTGAAAGTAACGATAATCATTCCTTTTCTCCTCACACACCAATGACAATGAATTCAGGAGAAAATAACATATTTCTTAATGATGTTTCTGGTGTCCATTATGAGATTAATACTTCCCATTTGCCTAAACTGGGCAGTGAAATTCCTCAACATCATAGTTTCTACTACGCAACAGCTCCAAGGCAGCAGCAATTGAACACAATGGGAGAGAATCATGAAATAATTGGAACTATGGTTGATGGTGGAGGGAACATTGTTAATGTTGTGTATAGTGGTTCCAATATGTCACGACAGCCATACCATGTGATGGCCCATGATAACAGAGAACCTATGAAGCATCCAATAGGAGGATTTATACCTTACCAAAGTGGTAATCTTGGCAATTCTTCCAACCACTTGAGGGATTATGGGCTTTTCAATAGTAGTGATGTACAACAACAGTCCCCGCAGAGTTGTAGGCACCAACCACAACACTTCCAAGGAACTGTAAGTAATCGAGCACAGTTGATTGAAAACCTGGTTGGAAATTGGGTACCAAATCAGAGTGGCACGTATAGTCCATTTGGATGTATGGATAGTGGTGTTAGACCAGTACCATCAACAAACCAGCAGGGAATCCAGACAGTTCGAGTACCTTCTGATGCAGAAATGGAATATAAAGGGGTTGGACGCAGTGTTCGAAAGGCAAGGATAGTTGCAGAAGTACGTCCTATGAGACCAACTTATTCTGATGTCCTTGCAAAGTCAGCACCTACAACATTACCAGCAGTTAAACCTACTTCTAATAATACAAATGCAGCCAGTAACAAATCTGAGTTTACAAATCCTGCAAAATCCAAAGTTTGTGCTTCGAAAGGTGGTAATGGCAAAAAGAACAGTAAAAGTGGCATATTGAAAAGGCAGCATTCTTCTGGCAGTGATGAGCATAATACTAATGGAAATTTAAATACCAGCAAATTGATTCAGAATCCAGTCCTAGTCCAAAAATCTGTGGGTAATGTCTTGAAGCATTACAATTCTGGTATTGGGTTCAATTCTCTTCCACGAAAATGGGTTTCATTAGATGATTTGGATAGTGATAAGCAAATTACAGGAGAATTAGGTGAAGAAATGTTTCAGTCAGAAGATGTAGTAGCATCAAGAAACCTGCAAAGTGGATCACGGAATGCTGTTGGTGAAGGCGGCAACAAGAAATCTATTGCAGTGCCTAATTTGAAATCTAAGTGTGGACAGCAGGGTAAGTGTTATCTCAGTATAGTAGTTATTGTAGTGAAGGGAATTTGTAGGGACTTTGGACTCAGTGATAACCAGCCACCCAAGCAATCAGCTTTCTTATAATGTGAGGCTTGTTCAGGTGAATGACATTCATGGATTGCTATGGGCATAGGAATAGAGACCATTAGAAATCGGTTCCATGAGTACTGAAGAAGGCATCTCATTGATGCAATAATTAATGGATTCTCTCCACAAAGAACTGTGGACTTCTGCTTCACCATAGCCTTGACATCTTTGCTTAACTCATATCTACATTCCTTTAGCACTTTCTAAAGAGGGCTGAACTGTGTAACAAAATTATCATCATCATTATATTCTTGAAAAGGGATATAGTCTTTGATAGCTTTGCTTATATAATTTGTTTATTAATGATGGCTTCTCTTTTGATGCATGAATGAGATCTGTTTGCTTTAGATGACTCTCTAGGAACTACACTGAACAACCACAAGCCACCAGCATGCACCCCAGGTGGCAAAGGCCCAGGTGGGTTAGGTGGTGTAACAACTAAACGTCCACCTATTCATATCAATAACAATCTTGGCACATCCACTTGGGGTGGTGCTGGAACTGCTGCAGGAGGAACAGGAGTTGGCAGCATTGGAACAGAAGAAAAGAATATTCTTAAAGGAAGTGGTGGAGCTAGGATTTGTAGAAACTGTCCGGATGATAAGAAAGGTACTATTATTGTTGTTATATTTAGAATTTATGACTCTGAACTTGCAAGTTTTTTGATTCAGAGTTTATGACAAAAATCGGGATGGTGGTAGTAATGAATATCCCGGTCACAGTAGCGTTTTTATTGGCAACCAATAATTTATTTGTTGATTATGATCTTTTACATTGTGATGCAGTATGGTCTTATAAGTTGGTTTTCAGTGTTATTCAAAACATTGTTAACCACCTACAAGGCCATATGATGCCACAACCTAGAATGTCATGATCAGCATTTTGTCACCATGAGAACCTCAAGTCATACGTATTTATGTTCTTCATCGACAGTGCCAGATTGATTGTGATCCTTGGTTCTGTTAACCAATGTTTTCATCATTCACTGGGCAAATAATCCTTATATAGCATCGCAACAGTTACTGTATAAGATTTAATAATATGTCCCTTCCAATAATAATTATTGATATTTATAAAACAACATGTTGACAAATATAAGGAGACAACTCTTAAAAATTACAGGTTACATGAGTTTAGTGCCCAAGAATAGATGCCTAATACTCATTCTAAAATTTGAGGTGCACAGGATAATTCCATTATTTTGTCGTACTGCACTAATTATAGTTATACCTCCTGCACAGGCAAAAGTGATGTGAAAACTGGATCAGCTGGGACAGGTTCTGCAAGGTCAGGGTCAGCTCGAAGTAGTTCCACATCGGGTACCCACAGTTCAGGAAGCTCCGAGAAACCTGCTCTCAGCAAGAGGCGAGGAAAGAAAAAGGAGTGTCATTCCCCCTTAGGTAATGTTGGAGTAATTGTAGTATAAGTAAAAAGTAGTTACAAGAATTGCATAATTTGATTAATTCAGTTAATTATTATGCATGTGCAAGTCTCAGATTTTGAAGGTTGAATCTAGAAAAAAAATCTTAGTTTAAAAGTTCATTTTTTTAGAATTTTTAGGTTACAAAACAATAATTTTGCCTGTTGTTTTGTATGGGTGCGAAACATGGTCTCTCACTCAGAGGGAGGAACACAGATTGCAGGTGTTTGAGAATAGGATGTTGAGGAGGATATTTGGGCCTGTGAGAGAAGACGATGGGGCATGGAGAAAATCGCATAATGATGAGCTTAAAAATCTGTACTCCTCCTCCCCCAATATTGTCAAGGTGATTAAGTCGAGAAGAATGAGATGGGTGGGGCATGTAGCGCGCATGGATGGGACGAGGTGTGTACCGGGTATTGGTTGGGAAGCCTGAGGGGAAGAGACCGCTGGGGAGACCTAGACGTAGATGAGAGGATAATCTCAGGTGGGATCTATGGGAGATAGGAGTCGAAGGAGACTGGATTTTGTTGGCCCAGGACAGGGTCTGGTGGAGGGCTTTGGTTAATTTTGTGATGAACCTTTGGGTTCGGTAAGCCATCTAGTTAGTTATGTAGGTTACTGCCTTTTCTTTGTACTGTAGAATGCCAACTAACCAATCCTTCAGAGTTGTAAGTTTGGCAATACTAACATGAACGAACTTGTCAGCATCTGTACACAACAGCAAGAGTTTCTCCTCCAACCAACAGTTTATTTCATTATTGGTAATGCCAACTTACAGGTAGTACAAGTACTTGAATCAGTCTGTGATCTATATTTCATCATATTAAAGCCAGTGCTGTCATATAATCTGTGATGGTTTTAAAGTACATGTTTTTAATTCTCAATATAATGCTAAAATTTACTTATCATGTTTTATATTGTGCAATTTTAATTTTGTTTTGTTTTGTTTTGTTATTCATGCTCCCCCTCCATTACAGCACTGTTTTTTCATCCTGTGAAGCGTCATGTGACGCATTGGGGTCAGATAGCTGTACAGATAATCTTCTGGTTCTTCCATCTGCTCTCAGATGTCCTTAGTATGAGTGTTCGTCTGTTTGCACATCTGTAAGTATTCCTGTTATGCATAGAAGTTTGACACTTTTTTTGGGTTGGTAGAGTTTTAAAACTAAGTGACTTCATACCTAATGTGGTGGTGGGGCTTGAGTACCTCAGTGACCCCAAGAGCTATGCTGGCGATAGTATAGCTACTGGTAGGGCCTCCCTAGCCAGATTGGTCAAGGGGGAGAGGTCAGACTAAGACAGGTACCCTGGTCTTCCAGGTTGGGGGTTGGTCGTAAGCCAGTGATTATATAAATATACTTACTTCTGTACAAAAGGCTCAAAGGACTTTCTTCTACACTCCAGTTTATAATCTTTCAGGTATGTGGATTAGTTTATGAGCTGTGATTATTATTTATTTATTTTTCTTAGCAAGTGGCCAGTCCTATAAATGTTAAATGCTTTCTTTTATTTGGCAGGTGTGCATTTATCTATGATTGGTTGTGTACATGGACAGTCCACTCGTGGAAGAAGCTAAGTGGCGCGGTGCTGCACTTGAAAGTCTTTGAAGTACTGCAATTTCGTGCTGGCTGGTGGAATTTGTGGAGAAGGAAGGAAAAGTCTTCCACTGGAGGACAGACGTCGTCAGGCAGTGGGGATGGAGTCAATTTTAAGAATGGCTTTCCCTGTGGGTTGGAGAATAATATTTCTCTCCCCTCCACTGGTGATGAGGCGATGAGGAGGCTTCTGGCATGCAAGGGGAAAGATCCTTACAGGTAGTTGGCTGGCTTGTATTCACAACATACCTAATTCAGACATTATCTTCCCTGGCCCGTTGTTTCCCCCTCCCCAAACTTATTTTTATGTATTTTGTCATAAAGCGCTTCAAATGTGCGTGCGTCTCCATCTGCCTGCTCATGTTTTATTGCTGAAACTGATCAATAGATTTGACTGTTTGCTGGGCCCATAACTCAGAGGTCCACAGATCAAAGAATGTTCTGCTGCCATTTGAGATGGTATACATCGGTCCTGCTGAGACTTGAACCCCTCTTGGATCAGCATCTTTACTGATGCAGTGATAAGCACAGTGTAAATCACATCATACTTTTAATTTAATTCATTCTCAAAGAACTTGAGCTTCTCGTGCCAGTACGGCTCACCATGCGTCCGAAAGGAAACAATTACTGTAATAAATAAAGTCAAGTTTACCTTTGAATTAAACATACACATGCACAAAGGAATCGATGAATGACACTTTAACCCACCACGTGTTCAAACAGGAGGCAGGAAAGCTGTAAAGTGGGAAGTACCAAAGGCTAGAGGAAATGGAACAAAAAGTACGAAAAAAATTGCAACGAGGTTTTGGGGTCTGCTGCTTGCCATAGTTAAATGTCATCCTTGACTTTGTAATGTAATAATATCCATGAAACAGATCTTGAAAATGTTTACTCCATGTCACATCAAAACCTTGTGAAACCAAAGAATATCATGGCAAATTACTCTTTGTGCCGTTGTACAGAACATTTTACAGTCACATAGCATTATTACTGAGAAATCTGTATTACATATTAAGTTCTGTACAATTTTTTTTCCCTCGATTTAAATGTCTGTTTCCTCTTGTGACAGCAAGTAACCTTTCGCTGTAAACAAGTGAGCGAGAAAGCTTGATTCTGGCTTTTATGTAATACAAATAATGTGTTACTCATGTTTTGGCATTTTATATTTACTCTACTTGTTAATAATGAGAAAACATTTTGTTGTTCAGCATTCTGGGGGTAACTCTTCACTGCACAGATGACGATATAAAGAAGTACTATAAACGTCAGGCAGTCCTGGTTCATCCAGACAAAAACAATCAGCCAGGTGCTGAAGAAGCATTCAAGATACTTGTCCATGCTTTTGAACTCATTGGAGAACCTGTGAGTATTTTATAATCTTGATACTGAATATGATAGTCATCAGATTCCTTGTAACCTGCCATCTCATGGCAAAGAATGGAAATTGCTAAACCTGCGTCAGCATACATTAAAACACATAATATTTCTGTTATTTACAAACTTCTGGTTGTGTGTGTGGTACTGAGATCTAACTTCGGAAGTAGTAGGTACCTGACCATTCTAAATCCAGTAGGGTCTGGGAACTGGGGAGCGCAGCTTGCAAGTTACCTGACGACTGCTATACAAATTTTTGTAATTTATGTTTTTCTACAGATTGTTGTTAATTTTGTGCTTTTATGCTGTACTGTGCATATTCTCCTTGCGAATCAGGATATGTTTGAACAGTAAATAAATTAAAGTAAAGCTGTCCCTCTATATGCCATGTAGGCGCTTTGGGGGAGGGTGGGAAGTGGAGGTATAGTTCCTACTCATGAGCTACCTGGCTTCCTATGTATGATTAGTGCTCAACAGATACGTGTTTTAATTTGTAATTATAATCACAGATAATGAGTTAAGTGCTATTAATGTGTTGTGTGTGAATTTTGTATTTTTATCTTCAAACATGAAAGTACTTTGTGAATGCTATTTTTATCCCTTATCCAAGCTTATTGTTTTTTAATTCAAGATTTCATCTCTGGATGTATAGGGCCTACCTGAGAGATTAATTCTTTAAAAATTTAATTAACCAAATAAGGATGTGCGTAGGTGGCACATGAACTAATCATTCAGCTTTAAGATTCTCTCTATGAAACATGAATTCTTGTAGAAGGATCATGTTAATATTTGACAGAAACCTTTGAAAGCCATTATAAAAGTTCAGATTTTATTAATAAGAGTTTACTGTTTTGTAAAAAAATTATCTTGATACAGTTGGACAGTCGTGTGTTTTCTGCTTGCCGAGTTTAGGAACGACGTACGGCTTACGACAGGAGAGTGGCAGAAACACAGCAAGTGGAACAAGCCTGGAGTGAATTGAGTGACTTATTGTCACAACTTCATAAAAAAATGGAGTATGCAGCTAATACCATCAGGTGCACAAACTGCGGTAAACGTCACCGTCGCATTCATGTGAATCGGCCTTGCTATGCAGCCAGGTTCTGTGCACAGTGCAAGATCCACCATAATGCTAAAGAGGTGAGATAAGTTGTAATTAATTCGATGGAAACATAAAGTATCGCCTCTTTGTAACAAATAAATACAGGGGCCCGTCAAAACTCATTATATTATATAAGCTTTTTACTTCCATTTTTGCTAATAACAAGGCCCCTTTCTGGTTCAGAGCCTGTTTAGTTTAAGAGTCATCATTCTTGCATCATCCTATCATCAGGATTTCTGGAATCTACATCATGGAGACTGCCACGTCAAGAATGGATGCTTCATCTCATTGAAATGGCAGAGGGCAGAATGGTTGATAGGATCATAAGATTATTTTAAAATGGTGAGATTTCAGGTTCCCAATGGTGATGATTAGCTGATGAAGATTGCTGTATTCTAGGATGTTGCACAGTGTACTCAGGTAGATATTGGGCCAGTTTCGAGGCTAGTTAAGCCAGGGTACCCATTGGATAGGAGGTTGGATGGGCTGCAGTCTGGACACTTTGCTAGAAGAAAAATTATGTGTCCCCACCGGGAATCAGACTCCAGTCAGACTGTGCTGACTGAGGTATCCCTTCTCTATGTTTTTGTGTGAATCTTAATAATTGTATGCAAATTTTCCAGGGTGATATTTGGGCCGAGAGCTCGATATTTGGCTTCTTATGGCACTACTATGCCTGTATGGATGGTGGAGTATATGACATTACTGAATGGGCCGCTTGCCAGGCCGATAACTTGCGCCATTTACGTGCCAACACTCACATTGTGCAGTATCGCATAGTCCTGGGGAAACAGACGCAACAGCAATCTCATGGAAGGCATCATAGTAACAGGACAAC